TCCCTGCACAGCAAAACAAGTCAAAGCAAGAAGACATTTGCTCACTAAAGCATCTGGAAACAAGCGTATGATTGGATGTTGGATTTACCGGGGATGACCGAGTCGATCCACACAGGAGCGTGACCCCTGAGAGTGAAGCCAAAGCTCATGTTGCCTTTGCACACTCTCACCGTCCTAAAAAAAGAACAATGACTGAGATGCACCAACAACAGACGTAACATGGAAATGGGCAAGACTCCGAGGATTGCGAGCCATTTGCAATTATCATACTGGACACAAAGATGCAGCCGTCATGTATTCAAAGAGTAACCTGCAATATTCAGTATCATCCCTCCTGATCATCTAGAAACCATGTCCAGTGACAGGAAATACTGACCTCAAATCTTGGCCACATGGGCCACAATATTAGGTACATCTGACCCATTGCAAAAGATTATACAGCATTACTGGATGGCTCAGTTTTGAATGACACAGTATTGGATCTTAGACAGGTCACGTGTACCTAATAAAGTGTCAGTGTTGTGCCGAAATGTGCAAAAGGCACGTTGAAGATGTACACACACTCTGTATGTTATATTGTATTATACAAGAGCCTAATTGTCTTTCAAAAAGAGCGAGGGTGGGAAGTAGAGGAGAACATGTCCATCATAACTGTCCATCCCCTGTTGTTCAAGTTTGATACATATTTGTAAAGCCAACGATTAAAAGTCTAATAGTAGTGTGACACCCCTGCTTTAAACCCAAACTGAAAAAAAATGTAAGCATAAAGAGTTTAATGGATCAAAACATAAAACACGCATGCCAGAAGAATCTACTTATGTCAAGTAGAGTGATGAACTCATATATGTTTATTTACAACACTGACCTGCAGTTGGTTGCGGAGGTGCTGGCAATAATTTTATTACCCTATTTATACTCACTTGACCAATAATTGAACAAAAATACTTGACTGATTTCAACACGAGTGAGCCATCATTTTTTTGCTTATTACCCTATTTATACTCACTTGAGCAATAATTGAACAAATACTTGACTGATTTCAACACGAGTGAGCCACCATTTTTTTGTGTACAAGTAATAATACGATGTGATGAATAAACATTTCTTTGGTTTCAAAGAAACCGAGGGAAGATGTAACTCCAAAGTGGCCCCTGACAAAAATGAGTTTGACACCCCTGCTTTCAACCCAAACTGAAAAAAATGTAAGCATAAAGAGTTTAATGGATCAAAACATAAAACACGCATGCCTGAAGAATCTACTTATGTCAAGTAGAGTGATGAGGTCATGTATTTTTATTGACAACACTGACCTGCAGTTGGTTGCGGAGGTGCCGGAGTGTCCAGCTACGAGAGACGTGGTCTTGCGCATGCCGCGGGACGGGGGAGCGCAGTTTTCCTCCGCGTGTGTACGTGGCACAGAACTGGCGCGCGTGGAGACCACCAGGTGTTCGGGGTGATCTTCGCTGCGGCTGCGGCGCAGGTGGCTCCGGGTCGGGTTGCTGAAGCTCCGCCCCTTGAGACGGCTCATCAGGCTCTGGGAAACCACCTCGTCGAAACGCTCCCGGTGCTTCTTGGGAATGAAGATCCTGGCCAACATTGTAGAGGACAAGCGGGAGAAACTCTCAAGGTGAACTTTTCAGTGGGAAACGATGGATGAAATAAGCATTCCATAAGCAAAGATAAACTTTAAAAATGTATTGTTTTTTTTTTTTTTTTGTGTCCATGGGTATTATCCACTTAACTGGTTCAAAAATGTCTTCTCAGCGAGCAGTAAAAAGACGGTTTTGGTTCATGCACTTGCTGCAGCAAGAGTAAGGAGCGTTTCATGTTCACTCGCGTGATAAACACATGAGCAAAAAAACATTTGTGAGTCAACGCTCCACTCCCCATCCACACCTATAACCAACTTCTGGTGCCTTTCCCCCGAAAAAAAAATCCTATATTAAAAAAAAAAAGAATAAAATAAAACAAAAAGAATCACCCAGAGGCACAAAGCGATAACATTAAAGACTTCCACTCACAACAATTTCCAGCCGTTGTTTTGTGTATTAGTGCGCGTTCAAGAGCCATCACGGGAAGCACGACATAGCTCTCGCTTTGAATCTAGCGCCTCTCATGCAAAAGAAAAGCAGCGCATTCTTTTTTTGTGTCTCATCAACCGAGAGCCCACCGAGCTTGACATATTCGGCTTCACAAGACCTCACTGAGGTACGTACGATGCCAATTAGCTGCGAGAGCAGGAAAACAAAATCGCAGGAGTGACCTAGAAATGTGGGAAATTTGACAAGAAAATACAAAGTCAGTCGTGACAACTTCTCTGTTGTCTACGGCCAAACAAACAGACTCGCACACGCAAATTGTCCGTAGATCCTCTAATTTGGCCCTTGGTTATTTTGTGAATCTCCCACATCCCTTCTCCCTGCCCCTCCTCCTCCTCATCATCATCATCCGCGCCTTTCGTCCTCCTCCCCACAGCGTAGCCTTCATCCAAAGTCTCCAGGGGTCCTTTGCGTGTTCCAAAACGGCCCACTTCGGCAGAGCATCCGTAGGACTCGAGCACAATCAAAAACAAGGCTGCTGAAAAACAAGGCACGGTGGCGCACTTTGGTTTTCAAAGGTACAGCCTTGTATGTTTGGAGGAAGCGAGAAGGGGAGACATCTCTCTAATTGGTGTTTCCATCATAACAATATGCGGCGAGTTGATTTTTGCAGCCTGCACAAGTATTAACTGAGGGGCTGAAATTAAAAGAGGTGAAGGCACTTGTTCACCTATACTTTATTCATTGACAAAAAGGGGGATGCACAGTAATAGTGCCAATACTGGATGTTTATACTCGCGCAAATATATATATATATATATATATTTTTTTTAATGGTCCGATACAATGACATCGATACCATTTTTGTGTGCTGAAACTTGTGCCATGTTTAATAAAAGTTTGGATTTCATATTTTTGAACAATATTTGGTTACAACTGCGAGACGTAAATGGGATGGGCAAGTATCTGTACCAGAGAATACTCAAATAGAAGTACTTGTACTCGGTCTAAGATATTGGTATCTGTGCATCCCTAAAAAGTATGTCACCTTATTCACTCGGGAGTAGCATTAGCCACAACAATAAACCTGTGTAATGTACCATAATAAGTAGGGCTGCAGCAAACGCAACTTGGACGATACCGTTTGTTCAGCATATCGCTGAACATCCGAATGCTCAGGTTGCAAAAATAATCAATAGCAATTATACAAATCATTGTTATCGCGAAAAATGACTCCCCCCAACTTAATGCAGGCGAATGCATCTCGAACAGTCTCAAACGTTGGGAAATTAACGATGTCCACATTTATTTTACGAGATGGGATTGATCTGATTTGCTTTTTATGCAGCATACAGACTTTAATGGGCCAGGCTTCCTCAGGGGGGGAAAAAAAAAACTTCCAGGCAAGTCGTTCATTAATATCCTAAATGTTCGTAAAACATTGCTGACATACATTCAGCGAAAGAACGGAGCCTGCGGAGAGAGTCGAAAAGAATGTGGAGTGGGAGCTCTTTCTGGGCCAGGTCAAGGAACACGGAAGCAACGGGGACACGCTTGCGCTTCCCGCCTGATGTAGGCCACCCAACTTTTGCCAACAACCATGCGTCACCGGCGAAACGCAACAGAATGAGGGCGACTATTGTGTTCTGACAGCAAAACGCGACTTGATGGAAGTAGTCCTCGTCGTGACATTCGGAGGCCAAAAGTTTGCTGTTGAAGTTGCATTCGGGACAATCTCAATTGGAAGCAGGACGAGAGGAGCCTATAATTAGGACTGATGAGCTCCAGCAAGAATACGGATGACAATCAAATGGCCGCGGTGTGATGGACAAAAAAAATAAAATTACGATCAAGGTTGCGAAAGACCTCCAAGAAGCTTGCCGACAAGTCCCTTATGGACACATTAAGAAAACTACCGTATTGGCCCGAATATAAGACGGTGTTTTTT